AACCAACCCACACAACCAACCAACCCACACAACCAACCAACCCACACAACCAACCAACCCACACAACCAACCAACCCACACAACCAACCAACCCACACAACCAACCCACACAAACCACCAACACAAACCACCAACACAAACACAAACCAAAGACAAACCAAAGACAAACCAAAACAAACCAAAACAAACAAACAAACAAACAACAACAACAACAATCAGCATCATGAAGCGTCTGAAGAAACGATAAGACATTTCCGTAGTCTGCACAATGTCACCTTCCAGGATATGTTGAACTCGGCGAAGAGTCAAGAGAAGGACACATGGGGTGGAAACCAGGGTTTCACCAGAACAGCTGCGCACTCCAGCAAGTTTGACAAACCAATGTGTCATAAATCATCATAAATCATACCATGCCTTGGCCATGCATCCCTTGAATATGAAACCTGTGATACGCAATACCATCCAATACCTGCTATTTTGTTCTTCGGACTTGGTCCACAGATGTATCACTCGCAACTCCCCAAGTCACGCGGCGTGCTGTTCTCCCCTTGCGCGCGAGCAAAACCGGCCGCGGACGCGTTCTCGGCCGCGCACCTTGCCATGACGCTCCTGCTGAAGATACGTACCGGGTTGCATCGTTACCAGGTCGCCATGACGCGTGGGCCGTCACATGAGGATGTGGCGCCGAGGTCTGGCAAGTTAGAGCGTAGCAACGCATAGCATCTGAAGTTGGGTCTGGCTCCATTTCGGGTTGGATGGGTCTGGATGGGCTTGAGGTGGGTTGGGGTGAGGGTTTGGAAGGAGCTGGAGTCGGGTGTCGAAACTTAGGAAGAGTCTGATCTCTTGAATTATAGTGAAACATTTCTTTAAGGTGCCTCCACCTAGTATCTTCTTGCTACTATATGTGTAAAACAGCAAAACACTTATTAGTCAATACTCAATACGTCTTGCTACTAATTGTAGTATTAATGATTTAATACAATATAAGTCAAGTCTCAAAATCACCAGAAAACATATCTTCCTGAGTATCCCTGGGTGTTTTGCTGCTTGGGACATGCACAATTTCGAGATATTATCTTCTGCTTCATGATCAAATCCAACGACGAAGGTAAGCTTGTATGCTTTGTCTGAACCTCACTAAATCCATGCCGATCATCCGATCCAAGGTTTATGAAGACCGTAATATTAATTATGCATATCATTAATCATTCATGCAATTAAAAGCTGTGGCCACATAGCAGCATCAAATGTGGAATTCTGGGTGCTGCCATCCAACGCAAAACAATGATTGCACGTCATAGCACGTCATCATTCTCCAACCTCAACCAGGCAAACAGGCTCTGGCTGCCATGCTGCAATCCTGATCGCTCCCTTTGATTCGGTTCAAACGCGCGTCGAGCCGAGAATGATTGGGACGTCCAATGGGTAGACAACGAACAGGCCACCTTTTGTGGCTACGTCAGGGTTTTTGTCCCCCCGGAATCGAAGCGAGAGAGGCACAAACAAGTGTTCAACGGCATACGGCAGCGCTGCCGAAGGCGACAGATGTTTCAGGCTCCTTTCAACGGCGCAAAGGACGATTCCAAAACAACCATCGCTACTAGGCTTAGGGCGGAGGCGTTGGAGGCCATTGCTATTAAGCTTGAAGGCCAAAGGTCGCTCGCTGAACCACTCTCGCTGAAACGCTCGGTGAAACACTCCAAGCCCGCTCGATGGAAACGCCCCGGCGCGGCTTCGGCCGACGACCGCGGCCGACGACCGGGCGGTTCGCGGGCCGAGTCGTTAACGTCAATGTGCAATCCGCAAGGATGCACGAGAAAGCATGTCTTGGACTTCCAGCACCCGCAGGCGAACCTGCAAAGAGAAGTCTGACAAATCGGATGAAGCCTTCTTTATTGGTATCGGTTGATGCCGAACTGGGGCAGGGATTTCGAACTCAATCCTGGGGTGCCACTGGGCACTGCAGCACATTTTTGGAGGAATTGTAGCGAGGATTGGAGAGACAAACCATCTACATCATCACCTGTGCCAACCCGGAATGTCACCCGACGGCCTTCTCGGCTTCTTCCTCCGACGGTGAAGTCTGCTCTTCCCACTGCTCCTGGACCGTCATCCGGAACCATCGGCGTCGTCCGTGCAATCTCGGCGCCTTGAACCTCCTGTCTTGGGCCATGAAGAAAGGAGATCTGGCAGTAATAGGCGAAGTAAACCAGTGCGGAAGCATGGCCAGATGTCTATAACCATGACATGCGTCATCATGCGTCCATGTTTCATCATGCATCGCGTGGGACCATTGTGTCCTGCAAACAAAACAACATATCGCTGCTGTTAATTATGACAAACTGCTGCAATGCAGGATAATGGAGGCATTCTAGTGTAATATTTCACTGTATGTGATGCCCCCCAGACTCTCAGCTTGCTGTGGGGGATTCCATGATTTTTCACCAGCGTATGATTACGTCTATCACTAATATGGCAAGGACGCAGCCAGGACCGAGGTTTTAAGAGCTACGCAGAAGTGGCGCGTGCTTCTGAAATAGATCTCTACTACGTTCATCAAGTCCAGTTTTCCTCATTGCAAAGCTCTCTCTGCCGTCCGTCCTCCCAAATGCCAATATTCGTTGAGAGACAATCGCCAAACTCGCAGTACATCGGCCACAACCTCGCGGCTGGTTGGGCGTCGGCTTGTATTAAGGCTTCGGAAAGACATCGACATCGCCCACGAAAAAAGCGAGAAAAGACAGAGATGACCAACCCACACAAAAGCCGACACATGGAGATCAAACTGATCAAAGACCCAAGCAGCAAAAGGAAATGATCTCTCCTTGCGAACCTCTTTACTCACTCCTTAAATTCCGAGTCCGCCACCAAATCTGCGCCGCGAAGAGCGGGGCGATCATGAACCTGAAGAACAGCGGCATAGTGATTCCAGTGGTGACCTACGAGTACGATGTCTTCCCATCTGTCTTGATGTCCTTCTTTTCTTTCTCAGTCAGTACACATTAATTAGACCTATATGTTCTCTTTCTGGTGCCGCTCTTCTTCCTCCGCAGCCACATGGGCTGAATTCTCAGCTGAGGAGCTCAATGAAGCCAATCTGAGAATTCGGCCTGTTCAACCTGCCGTTCCGACGCGAGTTCGCGCGCCTTCACGACCGAAACGGAGCCACTTGCGACCACACATCGACTCGCACCAAGTGGGGAAGAAAAATACAGCAGGTTTAATGTAAACCCAAAGACATGACATAAGTAAGACCTCAAGAATCAAAATAAAAAGAAAAAACCCAAAGACCCAAAGGCAGGTTCGTCAAACCTCAAGAATCCCATGGCGTCCGTCCAGGTCGCCGTCTGTCCTTCCGTCGACCGTGGTCGACAAGGGGACCACCAGGTCCGGTGTCAACGGCGTTCCGAGACGATCGTTGGATGGCAACAGTTGAATGCCGCCTTCTCCCGCAATCTCATGCAATACTCTCCAAACTCACATGGAACCAATTGACCGGTGCAAAGTGGTTTTGGGGTTCCATGTTCATCTGCGGGGAGGATTCCCCCCAATTCCAATCATAATTACTTCACTTGCAATTATCCATCCCCATCCTCAAGAAACAAAGGCCAGCTTCTACAGTGTTCATCACAAGCACATTTGCCTGGACAGCAAAAGGTTCAACATGGTTCAACATGGTTCAACATGGTTCAACATTCACCACGCGCCACGGTCTCCGCGCTTCTCGCGGTCGTTGAGGAATTGCACCGGAACTCCTTCAGCTCTTTCCTCGCGGTCAGGGTATGTGCTTTCTAACAGACGGCCCGTTTGGGACTCGCGTATTGGACTCGACCAGTGCGATGCAACAATCATGTCCCAGACGCTCCATGTATATGCCTACATTGGGGTGGTTTTGGGGGTCAATGTAAGCATATATGGCACACGGAGTGTCTGGGTTTGTTTAGTTTGAGACCAAACAGCCTCTTTGTGCAAATGATTTTAGACGATCAACCATGTCCACCATTCTATTCATGGTCTTTGAAGGCCAGGGCATCTAGTTTGGTGGAACCTCAGATCAGGTGTCCTAGGCTGTTTGGTCCATTCCGCCCCCCCCGGCGATCACGTCGGGCGAATGGGAAGTTCGTCGTCCTGGTCGCCCTGCGCGAAGAATTCATCGAGACAGCGCTCGGCCCAGGCTTGTGTCACGGCCCATTCTCGAGCAGGGTTTGACCTGGGATGGACCAAAAAATTCAGGCACACCCACCGGCACAGGCTTGTGCTTTTTTTCTTCGCAGAATCATGAATCATGTCGAGACATTTTTGTGTTTCTTCGCGTATACTACACTATAGTGTAAGAAATTAGATGATTTTCAGTTTTTTTTGTTAGGCGTTGTTCGATGGTGTTTGAAACATGTCGTCCTGTGTTTAAAAAGAAGTTTTGACTCAAAACCTTTGAACATGGACTCACTCTTCCATCTACAGGGTGACCATCTGGATGCACAAAAGTTGGCATGTCTGGCATCTCCAGGGACATAAGTGCAGGACACATCTGCCGAGTGCACGATCGCGTCCATCACCAGCATCTTGTTTTCGGGCCTCGGTTTTCTGCAAAGAAATTTGAGAATTAGTTTGGTTGTTCATTGTGGAACCAGTGTCAAGCACATCAATTTATTGTGTCTTGTCTTCCGATCACTGAGAACCATGACTGAGAATACAGTCATTGTCTTTCTCTTCACCATACTTCAGGGTGGACAAGAAGCCACTTCAATTGATCCGATGAGCTACCCATGGACTGAGTCCAGTTGCTTGGCCTTGAACCCCCCCCCACGTCCTCTTCAAAAATCGAACTCAGCGACGTGGTCCACACGAAAACGCATGGCTCGCTTCACATTCAGGTACGCTATCATACGACTTATCTACACGCTATATCCTAAAGAACTAATGTGCATTCAATGCATTTCTCACGGCTATCAGCGTTTTCCGCTCGACCAGTCTTGACCTGGTCCCAACATCATCACTCCCCAAAGCGTGAAGGGACCGCTCCCCGTCATCTCACTCTCACCCGGCCAGCCGTGACGGTGTGGACGTGCCCGCGCATATCTGACACCAAAACTGAAACGAATAAAAATGGATCTCCAGATTAGGATTCCATGGGAAGATATAGAATCACATCTTGAATCCCCTTTTTGTTCCATCCTATACACCCATCATGAATCTCATACACGTATACCCCTTTTTGTTCCATTCAAAAGACACGGGCACAACTCGTCGTCCCTTTGGCATCCGGACGCGGCAAAGACGGCCATGGGGTCTGAGGGCACTTCATTGTGCATCGTCTTCCGCTTCCCTTAGGTGAGCTGATGAGCTGTTGGTCTTGAAATTGAAACATGAACATGAGTAATGATTGATTCATAGGTGTCTGAAAATTGGGTTGGAGAACATATGACTATCATAATGTACTACATTAAATTGTCTGGAGAAAATGTGTCGCCATCTGCGGACGTCACCGTCTCTTCGTCATCGTGTCGAAACAAACGGACGACAGATGTTCTTCATCAATTAATGGTCCGGGCGAACAAAACGCTCAGTGATACTGTGAGCTGTTGATATTTGGAGAATTTTGGATGTTCAACACCATGTTCGACCAGTCCACCATGCAGCAAAAGAGCTAGGTCAACTCCAGGTCTCGAGTTTCTCTTCTCCCAAAAATGACGATAGAAACGACCAGGACCCCAGTGGACCTCGGAAGGAACGGCCGAACCGGGTAGCTTCGCGTGCCCCGCACGTCGCGTCCGAGGCGCAGTTGGACTTGCGGACGGTGGTGCGAGTCTCACGGACGGGCTGAATCACCTGGCGCTTCTGTCGCGACTGGTGGGAATCCGCCACGTCGTTTTGGGATGTAGGTTGACGCTCAATTCTACACATTCTTGCAAGCGCCGCTTTGCATTTGCCATAAAGCTCTCCATCTCTGCACCACTCCGCTGTGTTGTGTCTTCACACAGTGGCCTCAGAGTGAATCTGGTAGAGTAAATTGAGGTCCTTGACCATGTTTTGATGGCCTCAGAGCAAGATTGGGTAAGAAAATAAGTATTATAAGGCCCACTAACTAAGCCCACCCAACCTCATGGAAAAGAATCTGAATACATAGACTGTTCGAGGGAGCCTCCCTAACCTGCCAGTTCTAGTCCTCAGGCTTCATGCATGTAATTATCATGAACGGCACCAAGCATGAACGGCACCACGTGTTTCGACCACCGGTGCCCAGGTCCCCGACACATCATGTCTGTGTGTAGAATCACTTCCACACATATTCTGCGAGCCTGGCGCTGTCTTTTCCACGCAACAAAAAACGAAAAAATAACTAGATGTGAGATGTGAGTTTGAATGAATCCTCCTGCAATCATCAGACCAACCAAAAGCTCTTAGGTCCGAGAACATGGAATACACCTCACACAAATCATGCTCATAGATCGATAGGTAAAAAAAGAACACAAACAAACAACCCGTCCAACGAAAAATGATCAATCGCCATCGCTCGCCTCTTTGTAGTCATCTGCACTGAGGTGTGCGAAGAGCTGCGTTTCGGGTTTGCCCAGAAGTTGATATAAAGCCGAGCAATGCCTGGCGAGCGCCAAATGAGCGCACGCTCCGAAATCATTGAGCGACAAAGGGGGGCTGTGGGCCAGGGGGGGAGGAAACGTCGTGGAGAAAACAGATCTATGTACAAAATGTATGATTAAAAAATCATGTTATCATTGTACTATCATCATGCATGTATACCTGGACCTGACTTCAAGTATCCTAGAAAATGGGACATGACCATGCAAAACTATACCTTTTTACTTCTTTTTTTTCGAGGTACGAACGGGCCGACTCCATGTTTTTGGGTAGATGCGTTGGTCTCCCCGACCGGTCCATGTTGACCGCGTCCTTTTTGCCTTTGGGGATCTTTGGGCTTTAAAGCGAAACGCATCACGTTGGCCCGGAAACAAACACATATTGGTGTTTTTTGCGTGGAAGAATCAGCTAAACTGAAGCAACAAACCGGTCACCTGCGCGAGCGGCTGAACCTCTCGTTGGACCGCGTCCGGCGCCGGCCCGCCGCGACCGGCCAAGGGGCATATTCTCCAGGGGCGACTTGTCGTTGTACTTGATGGCCAGCTCATGACCCACCTCACCGGCATTGGTGGGGCATGGTGGGGCCCAAAAAGCGAGGGGGGCTTTGATCTATTGGACCTGATAAGGTACCTGGTCATGCAACATTTCGTGCACAGTTGTGTGTATATATGTATCTATAGCATAGAGCATACGTTCACAACATCTTAATTCAACATCTTCATGGTGAAAATCCTATCCCAAAGACAGGCCCGATGAGCTCTGTGACCTCGTCGTTCGTCGTGGTGGTCCACGCAAGAAACGTATGACCCACTGAGGTGTGCAAAGCCCGCTTCACTGGATCGAAGCGGAATGCCCTGCTTCCATTCGGGAAAGCTCATTCAAGGATGCCCCCCATAGCTCCTAACACTATGAAAAACACCCCGAACAACGGAAGCTCTTTTTGAAAGGTCTCGGTCTCCTTTGCCGCGAACGGGAACAATGGTGAACTGTCGGTCTCTTGGCCTCGAATCGCTTGAGCGAACCTGCCTCGGACAAGAACACGTTGTTGAGACCCATGTGGCCAATATCATGTCCCAAGCCGGCCACCAGGAGGGAGAACCTCGACGAGACCGAGACCGAGAGTCGTGAAATGTCATGCCACTCCATAGTCGCTGCAAGTAGAGTATACTAGCAACAAGGCACCTATATACTAACTATAGGAACTAGAGCTACTAGGTGGGAAGGTGGGAGGCCATCGCAATTAGGGGTGGAGGCCATTGCTACTAGTAGACCTCCAAGTCGTTCCGTCCCACAGTGAGACCTCTGAACAGCGCCGAAGAAGGCCGATCAGCTTGCGATGGTCGGGTGAGGGAGAATCCAAATGCTCAGAGCCGACCATCACTTCATGACTTTTGGCGAGTGCACTCCCCAAAGAACTGGTGTATCGAAACGTCTCGGAGATCTTGAACCGATTGGTACCCGCGCTGCAATGCCCTAGAGCTTTGGAACAAAAGCATGGCAACCTCCTGGGAACGTGAGGGACGATGGTGGCTGCCCTGGTGGCTTGGTGGCTGAAGCCGAGAACGATCCAGAGAGATCCGATTGGAAGAGGTGGAACCAAGTAGTTCACACCAAGTGGTGTTTGCCTGTGGCGTGAAAGGAAAGTCCAGAAAACATCACTTGCTGCTCAAGAACTGCTTGATTTGTTGAGGTTTCCGGTCAATACAGTGGGGGAAAGTAAGAAGCCCTTCTGCATCCTTCTGCACAAGATGCAGTGATCTTGCACAGAAACCTCCAGAATAGGTCACCACTGAGAACCGCACTGCTCCAGGTTACCTGAGCTCTCGTTCGCTGCTCCGGTCCAGGAACCCCAAACGTGCCAACGTGCCACACGGCGAGTGGACGTGAGTCAGCCTGCTCCGTCCGAGCGGAGCGAGCCGAAGCAACTGCTGAGAACTGCTGAGAACGAACGTCTGACATTCATTCAACTCAGTTACTGAGGAATGAGTCAGCTTCCACAAGCTTCATGGTTTTGACCTCAGACATGTGCTCTGCTGACATCTCTATGTTCTGACATCTCTTCCGTCTCTTTAAGAATATGAAAGTCTCAATTGAAGATTTAAAGATGCTTTCTGCAAGTGCTGAGCAAGAGACGATGACCGCTTGCACATCAACGGCATGCCCGAAGTTGTGGAATGGGTTCTCAGGGTAGGCCTCCAACATCTCAGCGTAACACACGGAAGCCGACTCTTCCACTAACAAACCCAGCAAACTCTTTCAACAAAGGTCACCTGCCTTTTGCACAGCTGAGACAAAGCGTGCAGCCAATGCTTCAGCACTTTCATCTCCCTTGAAGACCGCAGCGCCTGCCGAATCATGGAGACATGAGTCTGACAAACCACGAGTGTCAGAGTTCCATTTCTTCCAGGTGGTGTGCTTCCAGAGCTCTCTTCCTCTTCGCCCAACACCTCATGATGAGTTTTTTGAAATGCTCAGGCTGAGTGGCCAAATGGATGTGAAAGCATCACATGGACAGCCAGCTTGTCTTGCTGCTCCAAGCTGAGGTCATACCTTCAGTTCAGCGGCGGGACCGACGTGCGGACCGCAGGTGTTCTCTGCACACGCTGCATGGTTTGGGGAGATCCCCACCCTTCTACGCCAACATTTGGTTGAAAACCGGCACAACATGGCACAACTATACCTTAAAAATGCCAGAAAAAAAGGACACACACACACACACACACCACCACACCACTCAGTCACTATACTGTACCCAGTCACAGTGCAGGTCAGTCCAGTCAGGTCCGGAGTCGCTGTTCCCTTCGGCGAGCCACACGTAGAAAGCCAGTGAGCTGAAGGTGTCCTCGTCCACGCCATTCGCCTCGTAGTTGAGCAGCGGCGTGGGCCTCGGGGGAAGATCGGTGTCTCCAAGGAATCGATCTCCCGAAGAATCCATGGAGATCACTAGACTCAGATAATCTAGATCTAGTTTTATTTCATTGACCTGTGAAGAGGCCGCAAAAACCGAGACGCAAGGTGACCTCTGAGGTTGGGTATCGAAAAAGGCTCCTATTGGGTGTTTTCACTCTATCTTTGGTTTCTATACTTCCGGGATGAACAAAATAGCATCAACTGAGCACAGCTCCTCTACCAACATCTACCAACCACATACCTAGCATCTGGCACATCCTGGCGCATCCTGGCCCCTCCGCGCCTCACGTAAATCTCCTGTTGCTTCTCCTGCTGAAAACAAAGATCGAAAAGCAACGGAGCATTTGCTACAAGGACGCGACGGCCCGGCCGAAACGGGGCTCCTGGCCCGACGAGGACGCTACGACGAGGACGCGAAGCGAACGGAGCTCCCACGGAGCACAAATGCTCGGACCATGAAGTCGGACCACTGGCCGAGCGTGGACAAGGACCATGACAAGAGTCATGGCAAATTCATCATGTTAAAGGCAAGAGTATCTGAATTCCTCATAGAAATCCAATTTCCACACATGGCATCACATGGCGCAGGGTGGCCTGGCACTGTTCCCCCCATGTCCATGTATCCAAATGTGCACAACCAATGACTTGAACATATTTTGACATCATGAAGCACACCAGGTAACCTGGAGTCGTGGCAACAGCTGTGAGAGGGTTTTCTTGTTGTTTTTGTTGCTGGTGTGTTCGTGGCCAAGGTTGCTATAGGCACTTTTCTGTGCCTTTTCCGCACCAGAAAAAGAATTCAAACCTTTTCCACGTCAATCTGCAATTATTCCCAATTCAGTGTGCAAACACGTGCAAAGAAACGTCACGTCCCTCCTCGGAGGTGGACGTGCAGTTGCTGGGTCGGAGTTCTTTGGTACCCTGCAGCATGCTCAACACGCCCAGGTCTTCTTTGTCCATGTCCTTCGCACAGGTCGAAGGAAGGCGTATGCAGGCGTTTGTTCGCGGTGCGGATTTTTATCGTCGGGTCAGTCGTTGAGCATCTGTCGAACTTCGTTCGCGGGGTGACGTCGTGTTTTGCCGAAGTTCTGCCCCTTGAAAAGTGGTCCGTCGCTGAGACAGGATGAGACAGGGATCTCTGTCCATATCTAACCCTGTCTGTCCATGAGGGATTGATATGGGTTGATTGGATTTGCCAGCTTATAAGATGTGAGATCTGTGAACAAAGACGACTCAAAGGGAGAGAACAAAAAGTTCATAGCGTCCGTCACTCCCAAACATGTAAAACCCAGTGAGGAATCAAACACCAATACATGACCAATACTCAGAAAAATCTATCTCCTCTTGGAAAACCAAACAAAACACCCTCCTTGATCCTCCTTGAAAAAACACAAAACATGCCATGGCACCCCAGCAGAGCCGCTAGACCCACCCACCCCGCAGGTTTCGAACGCCCACCGGAGCTCGCGGGTTTCGAACGTCCACCGCGCCTCGGTTCGTTGGATGCGCTCGGATTGGGCCTGCACCGAGGCAATGGCCGCCAGCTTCTCGACCACCTAGGCGAAGGAGGGACGAGTCGGATCTCGAGCTGTGACCGGTCTGCCGTTACACCTCAGTCTGCAAGATGGTGACGTTACACCTAGGAAGTCACCTTGGATTCAGGATCATTCGAAGGATTTTACGCGAACTGTCCGAAAAACCTGGGAACTGCTTCAGCCCATGAGTGTTCGTGGTGTATAGGAAGATCATTGATATGGGCAATCAATACCTGCCAAAGGCTTGCAGGAAATTTTATGGATGAAAAGGCAAACATTGCAGCATATATAGTTGGAAGATCCAGGTTGATCTTTTGCCATTCGGTTGGACTATGCGATGCCATGTGACTCTCCAAAAGTTGGATGGAGATGGATGGTCCAACGATTTGACGGAAACAAATGACCATCAACTTGTTCAACGGTGCCAGGTTGAAAAAAAGGCACCTTGTTCAAGAGGGCCAAACACCTTCAATTTGCTTATTATGCTTATTATGCTGTTTATGGCCGTTCCATGTTCATCCATGTTCTGTATATGCTACATGTGAGATATGCTCGACTTGCCCAACGGACGGTACAACCAGGACAGTCCTGTGCCTCAAAGCTCAAACGTACTGAATCGAACCAAGACGAAGGGAGAACAAAAACAGGTTCCGACACTTCCACCGAAGGTACAGAGTGGTTCCGACACGTCTTTCGCTCAAATCATGGGCGACTGGGACAGAGTTTTCAGGCTATGCACAATCAGAAATTGACCAGCTTTCGCGGGCCGAAAACTCCATGCAATGGCACCCCTCTCCCGGACTCACGGTTTAAACATCCGGGTGCGTTTCTCTAGGTGCGCTGTTGGCAAAGGCCCAGCGTGGGCACAGAATTCGACCAGCAGCATTGGAAAAAGCGGCCAAGTAGGGCTTTCATGGTGGCCCCTCCACCAGCTCAAGCACCTTGAGATTGAACAAAGTGGCCCTCAATCCCAGCCAGAAAGGCATCAAATCAACAGAATGAACAGTACATATATCATCGAAGCATTCTTCCGCGTCATGTGCGCATCTACCCTACCTGGACTTTATTGAGCCACCTTGACATAAGCAAGGCGTTTCAGCGGTGAAAATAAGGGGCGAAGCCGGCAAAGCCCCAGCCCTGCTGCTGAGAATGGGTTCTGCCTCACGCGGCCCTGACAGGGTAACCTCCTCGAGCTTCGCCTTGGCATCACAAGTTGTGAATGGCCAACGAAGCTTCGTTTCCAGAAACGCATTTGCGAATGAGGAGCGAAAGGAAACAGAAAAATCCATCACAGTTATCGCTGTTCCTCCTCTAAGCACCTGACACTGTGCACCTTGCCTGGCGGCCTGGCGAGCGAACGGTCCCGGACCCCGCCACGTCCCACGAACCAAAGCAGCGGCGCCTCGACCTCCGCGAGGCGCGCGGACACCGTGGACTCCTCCATCGGCTCGTCGCTCTCCGCCGAGCTCTGCTCGTGCTCGACCTCCTCGGGGCTCTGGTCCTCGTGCTCCGAGCTGAGCGTGGTCAACCTGGAACGTTGACAGGCGATTCGGTCGACCGAGGCATACCAGGGCTACATGTCAAGTGGTGGCTTGGTGTTGGAGATGGAACGCATCCAGACTGGTTTGGGGGTCTGATTCTGGAAAACCCACCCAGGTCCGCCTCCTCTGCAAGTAGATCTCGATCTCCTCGCAAAGGGAACAAATAGATGGAAGCCAAGTGAAACCAAGAAGCCAACGACCCGAATTTCAAACGCCGCTTGAGCGTCAACTCTTATATTAAAATTTCTATATATAATACATGTGTCAAGCGTAACAACATGATCCCCAAAGTGTATGTTCCGTCCTACTGTCCGTCCTATATACCAAAGTGTTCGTCCAAATCAGATCCAGTGCTGACCACTTTACCATGGGCTTTGAAGTACCAAATGCTCCAATCTTTTGGGCACTCAAGTGCTCCAAAGCCCCGACCCGTCACTTCGTTCGCTCTCCTGCAAGCGACGCAGCTGCCCCCGCTCCTGCTCGGCGGCGGAAATGCCTCAGCCGGACACGCGGTTTCCACCGCGCCGCCGAGGCGCCGGACGTCTGCAGAGCGGACGTCCAACACATTGGGTCTCTTGGAGTCGAGGTGTTCCTTGAGGTCAGAAGGGTCAAAGACAAGGTCAAACAGGTCTCCACGTGCCAAGGATGGATTGATCCTGCATGGGTGTGTGTGTTTTTTTGTGGGGAGACCCGGTCTCTGAGGTTTTACCTTTTGAGCCCTTTTTTTCAACATGTCGTTGGAGCTGGTCTCAGCGAAGTTTGGTGGCAGAGTGAGCTGAGTCACGCTTTCTGCATCTTCTGAAGATTGTTTGCCCGGGCTTCAATGCAGTTTGATCTCCGGCAAAACCAAGCTTCTCGTACCATTTATGAAGCCTGAAACAAAAGAAGCAACCAGGAAGTACAAGAGGAAAAATGCATCGCACACGTAATATATTCAGCATGATTTTCTTGCGCCATGTCACTACCCTGGCTGATGATCCCTTCCGTTTCAGCAAACAGCTTGGAGACCCTGACCAAAATTCTGACTGAAATATACTGAAATGATAAATCCAACAAATTATGGAACTCCCGAACTGATTGAAGAAGTGTTCGGTCCTTATGTTCTACTGCTCTATCATGCTCTATCCATATCAAAAATCAATCATGTCAGAAAACAACATCACTAAAACTAAAATTGCTTTAAACATTGTTTAAACAACACATGCTTAAAGACTTCATGCCCATGCACTCACCCATGCCTCATAGAGAAGGGATCCCCCTCCGTATACTGGTATTCAATCTGAATGGCTCCACTCAGCGTGGCCAGGCGCCGCTCCGCCGCCAGCACCAGCGCCGTGGCGACGCCGGACTTTTGATGCGCGGGATCCACGGCCAGAAGGCCCCAGTGGCCACAACCCTCCCGGTCGGGGTCGGTCTCGGTGGGTTGGTGGGGTACCGGTCGGTTGGTTGGTGGGAGGGTGGATGGATTGAGGTGGAAGGGTGGGGGTGGGTTTCGAAGTGGGTGCCATGGCAGGTGGGTTTGCTTAGTGAGGAAAGTATCAAAGGAAATGGAGAATGGAACATGGGAATGTGATGACATAAAGTGGAATGGAATGGACTGGATGTGAGATGGGGTGCGATTGAGGGAAACCCCGATAGGTTCCAACAGATTCAAAGACGTTGGTCAGCCGGGCTGTATATATGAGTTTGCCTAAAAAGTACTGCCAAGTATACCCCTTTTGAATCATCCGACAATGATGTTTTTTTTTTTCTCAAATCGAAGTTTCCCAACATTGTCCCAGCAGTTTTGAGGATTTCCGTTCGAAAAACCTTGAAAACCAATCCATCTCCGTCTTGCACGCCTCGGGTGTCCAACCAGGACTGAAGGTTGAGCTGGCGCAGCCCACCAACTCGTCTCCTTTGAAGGCCAAGTGCAAGACCCGATTCGCCGACGGTCCCCCGTCGCCCATCTCCAAACCTCGGAGACGGCGGCTGGAGACGGGAGCAGGAGGACACCGCGGAGCACCGCAATGGAAGAAAAGACAAGGAGCACCGCGACCCAAGAAAGAACCCCCAGCATGATGAAAAGCTAAGCTACTCTCAATACTTGCATAATGATGAAACCCACACGGATACTGTCATGATACTTTCAGGGACCAATGGTGAGAACACACGAAGATCTGCTGCTTCTTTTTCGAGGTAGCCATGGCCCACAAAGGCCCACAACGTCGAGACAGTACGACCTGCGCCACAGCATCCGACAATCGCCTGCCTCTATACTATGCCCAGACACACTCTATGGGACTGGCATATTTACATACATTGACCCCTAAAACCACCCCAATGTAGGTAAATATGCCATACATGGAGCGTCTGGGATGTATATATTGGATGAAGAGGGTGAAATACATCTAAGAATGGTTGTTTAAGTGTCTGAAATGCAGCCAATGAAACGGTCCACTGCGTCATACCTGTCCACACGCTTGTGCTTGCCGACCTTGGAGTAGGCTTCATGAACCACGTGGCAAATTCGATCCACCAGTGGCTGCTGAATATGCTCGGAGGTGCCCACGATCACCTTAATCTCTTTCCCATCGGCAAATTTCACCAGGCAGTCATCCGAAAGACCGCTGGCCTGTGGAAAGACTGCAGTGCCAGTTCCATTTTCAGTTTCATCCTTTGCTTCCTTCAAGAGATCCTCCTTCACCTTCTGGATCTCTTGTAACTTTGCCGTTAAAGCCGCTTTGGCCATGGCTCAAGGAAGCTTCGCTTGAAACCTTAAGCCTCACCGAAGAAAGTATCAAGCATGCTTAAACGACCTCTAAGACTCAAACGCCCAGCGATCCCACCAAGTCGTCTTTCTCCAAACATCCACTGCCCCATGGGATCACTTCGCTCAGCCCCGCCTCTAAGGCGGAAAAAATGGTTTACCGCATTGAGACCTCCCAGGCCAGGTAGGGGGGAGTGAGGACGGGGGTCGCCCAGAATCACCGGCGGGCCTTCTCCAAGAGGATCATCTCGCCCGCGTTGTCGATCTCCGCAGAATCTTCCAAGCGACCCTCTTGACCTCGAAAATCCACCCAAAACGCGCCGCACGACGGCGCAATCAATGGGGTGAGATGTTTTTGGAGACCAAGCTGGAAAGCTAGCTTGAACCACTTGTAGGATCTCAAACAAGCCATCTTGGAACAACTCAATTTGTTTCCTGGAAGAGACCCAGAGGCTTTGGTCCAGAAGTCATGTCTGCACTCGAGACTGTGTGAGTCCCCTGGCGTTTCCCAATGTTGTGGAACTTTGAGATAGAGATATAGAGTTATGGTATGAGGATTCTTTGGTGAGTCCCTTCATGATCGTTTGCCAGGGTTCTTTAGCACCCCTGGCATAGATGAATGTAACGCAAAATGGTCGGAGCATTTCATGTGTGTTTTCACATGACCACCTCACCAGTGACCGGTGGACACTAAGTTCTGAAAGTGGGGACAATGCGCTTTGAGGACCCCCCCTGGCCAGGCTGGATTTAGCCCGATGAACATTCTGGCCTGTTTGGTCTATGAACAAAACTGGGCCATTGGCTAAAGGGTTCTCAACCGGAGTAACTGTTAGACCATGTTGGACCCACAACAGAAAGATACAAATTATATAACTGACCAGAAGCCCGGGGTGCACCGAATATGAGAGCATTTCTTGGGGTCACTCCCCACGGGAAAACCACCAAAACCGGACGCAGAAGAGCGCGCAAAGAGCACGGCGAGCCCGCACGCGAAAGCACCACACCTTCCTCCTCCTCTTGTCCGACCATCAGCGAACCTCATGGAGCCGAAGATGGAGAATGAGAAGCTTGACATGATCACATGTGACTGTGAAGCTTGCTGCCTGGGGACGTGAAGGAAGATTTGGACATCCATTTTGTGAGACATCCGCGGTGTTGAGTGGTTGGAGATGGGAAACAGCCAAAGAAGCAGAATCATCCAACCTCCTAGATCCTCCCCGAACTGCAGTTTCGTTTCTTCCGACCCACCGTGAGGACCCACATGACTTCAGACACCGTTCTCATCGGGCCCAGCGACTGAACTTGAAGACGGTGGCGGCGATTTCTCTCACGGTCCTGACGGTCCGTCGACTCAAGAGGAGTCACAGGGTCCGTGACGAAGGGTCGGCATGTGGTGACGGCAGGTAGAGGATGCTGTCATCCAACTGATCAGTGTTGCACACCTCGAACTCTGTGCTGTCTGGTGCTCATCACCAGTTCGCTGTCTGGTGTTTTCATACACCGGCTTTTTGGACACCTTGAGTCACCTCTAAGAGGCTATCGGCGATTTAGAGACACCTCTTGGAACATCTTGTTGACACTTGCGAAGGTCTGCAGGATTCAGGTCTCCTTACCCTCCCCCAAAAAGACATAGTGCCCTTAAGATCTCAGAAAGGTTTTCCCCTTTGGCCCGCTCTTCACCCCCAGACCGCCGCGCGCGACGCGGTCGGGCGGGTCTCCCGAGCATGCGCTCCAGTGGCGTGACCGCCAAATCGGTCACGACTTGTGAGAGGGCGACCCCGAAGAAGAGCATCACCACCACCTTGTCTAGACTCTGGAGTCGACTGAAGACCGTCGACCGACGGTGGACAGACGTGAGGGAATGGTGATATGGTGTTTGGGTTGGCGAGTTTGGATGAAAGAGAATGAACGCCAAGATTTATGGTCGGTGACTCACGCTCCTTTTGGGAGAGTTTCTTTTTGGAAGAAGCGGCCAGGTGATGAAATCACGCCTGACTTAGCCCGACTTAGGTGGTTTATGCTGACGTTGAACGGTCGCCGAGGTCAGAAAAGGAACATCAAGACTTGCCACTTCGCTGGGGGGAGGGGAGGACGGAGGCCGATGTTTAACACTCAAGTCACTCAAGTGACCATATTTGGGGAAGATACAGAGCCCATACTTCCACCAATCACCAATCAATCATTCGGATGAGCAAGGAAGCAAATAGATTGTCCATGGAATAAAAAGACCATCTAGTACAGCTTCCGTGTTCTTCCTTCTTGCAATGGAGGCCCCAGATTCCAGGGGAAAAAAGACACATGCAGCAGCAACTGAATGAAACCATTCTCAGCAACGTCTGAGGTTTCCACCGTGAACAAATTGCTCAGCAATGAGATGATGGCCTTGACCTTAAACGGCCTCAGTTTAAGCGGAGACTTACCGCTAAGCACAACCTCCACATTGGTTCTTTTGGGGGTTTTAACGGACGTCTCCACCCGGTAGTTTGGAGAAACACATCCAAAACATTCCAAAATCGGTAGTGAAGCCGTCATCCATGTTTCAACCCTGTTCCAGGCCATTTCTGCTTCTTTCACCGGACTTTCGGTCAAACCACAAGCATCTGTGTCTGTCACACCTAGATCTTCCAACTGTGCAGAAAGTCAAATGTTTATCAGTCAACTCTCCCTTTGGGTGACCGTTACAAGCCAGGCCTCCCAGGGAGAACAGCTTAAGCCGCCCCATGCGGTTGAACAGCTGAGAGCGTGGCTTTGTCATGTCAAAGCTCACCAAGAAGGTCTCCGTGTGAACCAGCAAAGCTGATGCGCTTCGTTCAGGTTCCACATTCACCTGTCCCCAGTCCTGGAGAAGCGGAGACCGGGGCGAACTCCGGAGACCGCTGCGAGCTGCCAGGGGCGAGTTGCCGATGTCCGGACATGTCAAGAGCCAGCTTTTTCTCAAGAGCGGCGCGGTTTAGCACATCGATTCAGAGTGGAAGGGTAGCATGAATCGATGCCTGTTTGGCTTATCATTCTATAGCGATGCTGCAGCATGTGTGCACCCCCTTCTTGGGAGCCCCTCTTCAGAGGCTGATCAATCATGAATGATCAATCACCACCGGTAGGCGACCGTAGCTCGAGAAGCCTCGTCACAGGAAAATTCAGCGGTCCTGGTAGTACCTCTCACAATGGAACTCATCTGCTCCCACCCAACTTCCACTGCATGCAGCAAAAGGTCCATGGCCTGAGGTGTCCATGCTGCGATCGACGAAGTAAACAGTCGATCGCCGTCCCTCGGAACCACTCGTACGTGAGCTATATGCAGCTAGGTCATGGGTGGTTCCGAGGGACAAAGAGAAGCATAGAACTGATCCGCTTGAAAACCACCACGATTGCGGTCGTAGACGACCGAGTCTGGGATCGTCACTGTGATGGGAAAAGAACTTCGCCATCTTTCGCAGCCTGGGAAGATCGCGACGGCCAACAATTGCGCTAATTTCATCACAGAATCTTTGCGAACATGTTTATTTGATGGATAAAGCATGACTCGATATAGTCTGTAAGTGTCGGAAAACCTCGGCGTTTCGTCTCGGATTAGGATCTGATGATACACACAACTCCTCAAGCTCGGACAATATCCGAGGGACCTGTTACTATTAGCGTGGCACCTGTTCTATCATGTCTTTATATAAATGCCTTCACACAACACCTGTAAAACGTGGTCCAGAGCCACCGTGCACAGCGACTCGCCAGCTCAGCTCGCGACTCAGCGATGGTTGAAGCCTCACCCTTCTGACTCGCACGGCTGACCTGATCGCAGCAAGATCGGTGTCACGTCCAGAGGGAAAATTACCCAAACTGCCCTATAATCATATTGTTATACTATCGCCCGGAGTCTTAAATACCTCGGAAAATGGGAAGTCTAGGGTCATGTCATGTCCCATTTTCTAAGGTACGGAGAGTCTATTTAAAGGCATCATCTCATCCGCATACTCAGTGCACAAGACATGTGGTGACATGATCCTCACCTCTCCACCCACCGGTCACCCGGCCTGTTCCACCCAGGCGTCCAACGCCAAGTCCTAGCGGAGACGACGGGACGGGTGGACAGGAAGGGTGGACCCGTGAGACTCCGTGACACGTTCCTAGTAGCAAGGCACTTGTTTCTAATAGCGTGGCACTTGTTACTACTAGTAAGGCACCTGTTACTACTAGCGAGGCACTTGTTTC